CGACCCGCCCTGGGTGGAAACGTCTGCAGAGGAGGGGGCTGTTTGAAATGGGGGTGGGGGGGACATTGAGATGTCACCTGTCGCTTTTGGAGGTGTCAGTGATCATCTCTGTGTTTGATGCTTCTCAAGCTGGTGACCTTTAAGAGGGGAGGACTTCAACTCCCAGAATTCCCCAGACAGTCACGCCTGTTTTTATTCTATCATCTCCTAGAGCAGAGAGATCGCAGAGGGAGGTATTAAAAGAGAGTAAGCAGGCCACAATGGGTGTACAGATCAAAAGGAATGTATTCATGCCAGGGAATTCTGGGAGTTGAAGTCCTCACCTCTTAAAGTTCCCAAGGTTGAGAAGTACCAGATTTGATTATCTTTGGGGGCATTTCAATTCTACAACTCCGTGATTCTGTGACCCAGCGTCACACAAAGACACACAGACCCGTTTCCCGATCTTTCCCCCTTCTAGAGTACAGCCGCTTTGAAGCCAAGATCCACGATCTGCGGGAACAGCTGATGAACAGCAGTTTGGGTTCAGGAACCGCCTCGCTTCGGAGTAACCCCAAAAGGGGCTTCTACATCCGGTGAGCCCCCAGCCCTTAGGACCCCTATTCCAGAGTCCAGGGGTGTCCCCCCCAAAAAAAATAAAAATCACCAGAGGGGTGGTAACTGTATTATTTTTAAAATAAGAATCTGTGAACTTTCCTGGTGGAAATGTCCCGTTCACAGATAGTCCTCGACTTTTTAAGAAGAGACTGGACAGCCGTTTGTCTGAAATGATATAGGGTTTCCTGCCTGAGGAACTGTATATGCAGCCCATCTCACCATCCAGCGAATTTAAGGGAAGGGGCAAGTTTGAAACAGTCCGTGACATTTTGGCCTTCTTACCTGTTCGCCCACTCCCATCCCCCCCTCCATCGAACAGGGCTCTCTTCGACTACGACAAGACCAAGGATTGTGGCTTCTTGAGCCAAGCTCTGAGTTTCCATTTTGGCGACGTCCTACACGTCATCGACGCTTCCGACGAGGAGTGGTGGCAGGCGCGACGTGTCCATCCGGATGGCGACAGTGACGAGCTTGGCTTTATTCCCAGCAAGAGGCGGTAAGGGAGAGGGTCTTTGGGGAGGGGAGGGGTCTCTTCTGCAACTTTCGAAAGTGGGGTTCAGGGCACACAGAGACACACACTACACACCCATGCGTTAAAATGTGTTCGGCTGTGGCCAAATTCTCCCATCTTGGAACATGTCTGTGGTCTTGCCTGGTTGTGCGAAAACCACCAAATCCCTTTGCGGTCGCCAAAAATTGATATGCTAGATCGTGTCAATCGATCTCGTAAAATCGGTGTGAAGATGCTCAATTCTTAGTGGCGAAATTTGATGTGCCATTTGGGGTGGTTTTTAATGGTGGGGAGGCGTCTTTGGGCAGTTGGAGAAGATCCTGGACTTTGGCGATTGTTGGGGGGCTGAGAAGGAAGGCCTTGGGGTCCCCAATTGATGCGCCTTCTCTCTCTCTGCCTTCTGCAGGGTCGAGCGACGGGAGTGGACGCGGTTAAAAGCAAAGGTGAGTCCATCCTTGGTCTTGCAAAAGACGGGGTTCAGGACCCCAACATAACTGTGGGGCATTTGTCAAGAACTGTAGACTGAGAGATAATTTGGAATTACCGAGAAGCGACTAATCTGGTGTCTGGCCAAACCCTCTCTGATTCCAGGAAGTTCTCGAGTTACGACCATTCGGAGTTATGTTATGAAGTCACGTGATCGTAATCTGGGCGCTTGGCAGCTAGCTTGCATTTACAACCGGTTACAGGGCATCACAATTATGTGAATGCCGTTTGTGACATTTCCTGCCGGCTTCCCCAGAAAGTCACTGGGGAAGGCGGCAGGGAAAGTTGCAGGTCACTGATGTTAGTTTTCCTCACCCGACCCTCTAAGCATGCACTGATTCAGCCTCTTGCACAGCCCTGTACACAGTGGTGGGATTCAGCCAGTTCGGTAGAACTGTTAGCTAATTTTTTGTTGCCCAGGCCCAGAACGGACTTCCGGAAGTGACATCCACACAGAGAACCGGTTGTTCACATATTTGAATCCCACCACTGCCTGTACACCCTTCTCAAGCCTCACCGTGCCTCCCTTGCACACTCACACACCGTCCCCGGGCCTTGCTGCACCTCCCCACCACTCGTGCAGTCCCATGCATCCTTCCCAAGGTTCATCATGTCCCTTACACCCTCACACACCCTCAGCCCCACTATGCCTCCCTCACACTCTTGTACACCCTGCACACCCTTGTCACACCTCCCCTTCCACTCACACACCCCGGCAATTTCCCCCCCCCCCCCCCCCCCCCCCCCCCCCCCCCCCCCCCCCCCCCCCCCCCCCCCCCCCCCCCCCCCCCCCCCCCCCCCCCCCCCCCCCCCCCCCCCCCCCCCCCCCCCCCCCCCTTCCCCCCCCCCCCCCGTCCAAGGCTTTCCAGGCCTCCCCTGCCACTCGCACACTCCTGTCCATCAGCAGCTTACCTACCTGCCACCTGCTTGCAAACACCTGAGATTGGCAACTTCCTGTTAGCTTTTGGTAGTGGAGCCAGCAGGAAGCTAAATGAGGTTCTCGTCTAACCACCACTGTGATCCACTGTGATTAACAACCTCAGTTCGGACTGCAGGGATTGCTGTTACTAAGCCATGTGGGAATCCTACTCCCAATTGTCCCCTAACTCCAGGACAACCTGTAACACCTGTTATTAATTTGTTAGCTTGCAAGCTGGGAATTCAAAATTAAAGTCCACCCGTCTTCAAGGTGACGAGGTTGGGGCACCCAGTTCCAAGCCATCCAGGCACGCTGCTCTCGTTTTGTGTGTGTGTGTGTGTGTGTGTGTGTGTGTGTAGAGGGATCTGTCCTGAATTAGCCCCGAAGATCTCTTCTGCAGCTTGGAAAAATCTTCCTAACGAGACATACCTGCGCGGTGTGGCACAGTTTAATGTCCATGGAGTAGCGCATCTGAGCAGGGTCCTACAGATCCGTGTGTCCTGCGGGACAGAGTGGTGGGCTTTGTCCACATCTGGAGGACCTCTCAGGGTGGGACCAGCTGCCACCTTTTGTCCTGCGCCTGGAGTCCTGGGGAAGAAGCTTCCCATCCAGAGTCCACCCCCCCCCTTTGAGGAGGAACATCCCTCCAGTGTCCACAAACATAGTCCCCACCTCCGTCACAGAAACAGAGGTGTACGTTCCTCTCTCTTTCTCTCCGCTCCTCCTCTCTTCCTCTTCCTTATTTTCTCTTCCTTCCTTCCTCCTCCAGGATCGGGGCCCTGGATCAGGCTGTCAAGGTGGGTGTCAGTCTCTGAGGTCCTGCTTCCTGAACCTTTGTCCACCTCTGGGCGACCCCCTTTTCCTCCCGTCTCCTTCCCTGCTTGCTGTCTGTTTCTCTCCGCTGTCCCTGTTCCTCCTCCTCCTCCTCCTCCTCCTCCTCC